CTCCTCCTTCTTCTTCTCCTTCTTCTCCTTCTTCTCCTCCTTCTCCTCCTTCTTCTCCTCCTCCTCCTCCTTCTTCTCCTCCTCCTCCTCCTCCTCCTCCTCCTCCTTCTTCTTCTCCTTCTTCTTCTTCTTCTTCTTCTCCTTCTCCTTCTTCTTCTTCTTCTTCTCCTTCTTCTTCCTGAGCTAGGAGGGAACACTGCCCTCCAGTTCTAGTATTTTGGAAGGGGGAGGAAAAAAGATCCCTCTGTCCACTCTCCCTCTGCCCTGTGCCTAATTTTATAAGACGCTCTCGTGTCCCCCCCCCTTAGTTGTTTCTTTTCTAGACTGAAAAGTCCCAAACCCTTCAGCCTTTTCTCCTAGGGAAGGTGCCCCAACCCCCTAAGTATCTTGATTGCCCTCATCTGTACTTTGTCCATCTCCAGACACGTACCGGGCATGTCTTTTTTCACCTCCGCCGCGATTTCTGGTTTAGTTTGGGATTAGAAGACTGGCGACTCGACATGACCAAGGGAGGTCCGCGGGGAACCTGATGTCCTAGGCCAGTGATGGCGAACCTTTTAGAGTCCACGTGCCCAAACTGCGACCCAGTGCGAACACGGCCATTTAATCTGCATACTGAGGTTTTACTTTAGAAAAAACAACTCATCCATTAACTTAAGATGATCCAAACTAAGTAAGGAAAGCAATCCCAAACGCTTTATTGACTTAAAATTATTTGGCAGAGCATTCGACACTTTAATGATGGTCTGGGCCTAGCTGGGGTGATGGCACACGTGCCCACGGAGAGGGCTCTGAGTGCCACCTCTGGCACCCGTGCCATAGGTTCGCCACCACTGTCCTAGGCTTCCGCCCCCCCTTTCCCGTCAGCTGCCAAACATTCACAGGCCCCGATTCTCTCGCCCTTTGCTGTAGCTCTGTTACCTACACGTGGACCTCATCCGGCACCTGGCACCCAAAGAAGGGAAGAAGCAGTTTGTGGAGTTCTGCCACACCTTCTTGGATAAAGCAGGGGTGAGTTAGACCTGGAGGATCCCTCCTGGAAACCTTCCGCCACCTCCGAACGGCTGTCCTCTTTTCTCCCGCGCTCCGCCCTCTCCTTTTCTCTTGGGAACCTCGCACAACGGGCTTGGCTTTTACCACCCTCGGGCTTCGTTCCGTTCAGGCCATCTTTAGACGCTCGTTTTCAGCAGGTGCTTAAACTGCTCTACATGGGTAGCGTCAGGGCTCTTTTTGTAGAAAAAGCCCAGCAGGAACTCATTAGCATAATAGGCCATACCCAACAGCAGGAACTCATTAGCATATTAGGCCACACTCCCATGTTACCAGGTGTGGTCATCCAGCCACACCCATCTATTGCTTCTCATTCTCTTTACCTTGTTTGTTGTCAAAACCCAGGGCTTTTTGCATGTTAGGCAACATACCCCTAATTGTAGCCAATCCTAATGAGTTTCTGCTGTTGAGTGTGGCCTATTATGCTAATGAGTTCCTGCTGGGCGTGGCCAACTTAGAAGCCAGCCGGAACTCCGTTCCTGTGCGTTCCTGCCCCAAAATAGCCCTGGACTAGCGGTAGAGATGTAAAAATTCCAGAAATTCTGAAGCTTGGAAACACCCCCCCCCGGTTTCCCCCCATTTTCCCCCAGAAAAAAATGGAATTTTTCGGAAAAATTGAAAAAAATGCTACATTAGCTCTTTTTTTTTTCTTTTCCAGATTGAAGGTCATACTTGGCATGAAATTATCACAACTAGCATTTTAAAAATATAGTGCATCCAAACAATTATTGTGGGTGGGTAAGGGGGAAGTAAAGAACCAGATTAGTAGTAACTAAATTATTATTTACTCAAAGGTTATAAAGATAAACTAATGTAGCTAAATGATTCAGTTTTCTGGAATCAGATAAATGAAAACTCTTTACCTTTTAAAATTAAGTATGTACTTTCAGGTCCTTTTTGTTGCTCTGTATTTTCTTCCAGTGCTTTGAGGCCTAGTGAAGCCTCAGTGCCAGTATACCCACCCACATGCAAAAACAAAACTGAAACCTTTTTCTTTTCTTGTGACAATAGCACCTCCTAAAGGAAGACATGCATCTTGTTCTTGCATTGGAGAGTTCAGTTTGTAACCTAGGATTTGCTTGTCCTCAGTGCACAGAAATTAGATCAATCTGATACCACACATATTTTTTAGAAATGATTTGGAAAATATTTGAACGCCTTGTCTTAAAATATTCTGTTCATCATGTTAAAATAAAACGTTCCATAATCAATTTCTTTTCTTTTTTCAATTTTCGGAAAAAAACAAAAAAAACTTCAGGGAAAACACGAAAAAAAACTTTTCCCCCCGAATTTTTCTTGGTTTTTTTTGGGCCTTCACATCTCTAGGTAGTGGTCCAGTTTAGATGGACCCTGTGGGTGAATTTGGCCAGCGTCATGCCATGTTACGGTAAACACATTGTGCTCATGCAGGTCAGCCATAATGGCTGACATGCCAACGATTAAAATTAAATCAGAAGAGTTTTCGGCTAAACGTGAGGAAGAACTTCCTGACAGTTAGAGCGGTTTCTCGGGGGAACAGGCTTTCTCGCGAGGTGGTGGGAGGTCTTCAAACAGAGGCTAGACGGCCATCGGACAGCAATGCGGATTCTGTGAACTCAGGCAGATCCTGAGAGGGAGGGCCGGAAGGGTTGCCTCAGTGCTCAGTTCTCGTGGCCCTTCCTTACAGGCCCAGGGAAATGCCGATCGCCACTTTGGGGGTCAGGAAGCAATTTTTCTCCAGGCCAGTTTGGCCAGGGATCACTGGTGTCACTGGGGGTGTGGGGCGGGAGGGATTTGTGAATTTCCTGCATTGTGCAAGGGGTTGGACTAGATGACCCTGGAGGTCCCTTCCAACTCTATAATTCTATGATTCTATGCCCCTTGGATGGCTGAAGGCAGTCGATCCACTTGTAACCTCCCGCATCCCCCCTCCTTTCCTCTCTGTCCCATGGGTGCCCTTTTCTGTTTATTGATGGGGATAAATATCTTGTTGGTCTAAGAGAGCCAGCTCGGGCCGGTTGGCAGCGATCAGCAAAGTCCTTCCGAAAGTTTGCAAGCTGGACTCCTGCCTCTGTTTCTCAGGGGTAGACAGCTGCTGAATAGAGAGGTTCCATGGAGCTAACAGCTGTTTCTAAATCCTTTGTCCTGACACAGTACCAATCAATTTGATTTATTTGGTCAGCGACCAGCACAAATTGCAAAATTGCAAGTTACAGACAAAAAGAAAAAGAAAAAAAGAAAACTCAAAACGAAACAGAGTCAGCCATAATGACCGATATGCAGACACAAAATCAGATGGTAAAATTAGCTCAAATTCAAATTCGTTACGTAGGATTTCCTGGCGAATTTTACAGGCCGCCGCATAGATTTCGCGCAACAGACTGTAGTCTGAGGGTTGTCCTGGGAGAGCTTCCACGGTGCACGCTTGGGTGGTTCCAACAACCTCTTTTAATCTTTCTCTCCCTCTCTGTAGTTGCTGCGGGTCCCCGTCCCAACGTCTGTGCAGTTTGAACTGGGTAAGAGCTAAAGTAAATAATGCAATCATTTGGGGGGGGGGGGTCGGACACGAAGGCTGGCCCAGAAGCAACCTTTGTGTTCTCTGTGCTAATGAATTTTGCAACTGGAATAAGTTGTGCAAATGAATTCTTGTTCATATAGCTTGCCTAATTTCTCTCCTGGCCTTTACGGAGACATGTAGGCGCTTTGTAAGAAAGCTCGTGGGAGGCTGAAGTCACCACAGGGCCGTCCAACCTTCTGGAATTCCACACAAAACGCAGAAACAGGCCTCATCCTGAGAATCTCTGCATTCGTTTTATTTATTTTTGAAAAGAAAATTTCTGGGCCTTAACGGCTACATGTTTTCTGGTGATCATCCAGAGCCAAGTGGTTAGTGGAAATTGTGTATTTTTTTTAAATACATTTATTTATCATTTTCCCAATTTATATACAACCATTTTTACTTACACATTGAGTCTTATTATATTTACATAGGTTTCTACAAACATACTTCAATCCATATATCCCCTTGTCTCTTGGATCCAAATATAAATTTTTCCCCATCTCTTTTTAAATACACCTCCATCTTTCCCTTGAAGACTTATCGTTAATTTGTCCATTTCCGCTAACTCCATCAATTTAAATATAATTTCATCTCTTGTTGGCAAAATCTCACTTTTCCAGTATTTAGCCATCAATATTCTCGCAGTAGTTACTATAAATGTTAACAAATATTTGTCATTTTGAGTATACTCTTCCGGTACCATGTTTAATAGTGCTATTTCCGGGGTTAAAGCCATTTTTAGCTTCATAATGTCCTGGATAAGGTTTTCCAGGACATTATCCAGAAACTGTGTATTTTGAGTACATTGGTACATCATTGCTCTGGGCCGCGGATCAGTGCCTCTTACCTCGAGCAGAACTCATTCTGTAATCCAGGGAATCGCAGGGAAATTTGGTCAGTGAGCCAAATCACTCGCTCACAACTTTAATGCCAGCAGCTCACAAAGTAGAATTTCTGCTCACAAGACTCCACAGCTTAGAGGGAGCATTGGTTGCAGGATCCAGGGTTTTTTTTTGGTACAGAATTTCGATCGATCGCCTAGGGCGAGCTGAAGGGGTCAAGTGGAGCACAAAAGGTTTGGGATTTGTTGTGGGGCAGGGCTGGTGTGCCCTTTTCCCACTTTGCTCTGTATGATTTTTGTTGCGCTTTCCTGTCAGAAACGGTCTCCCAAAACTGCTTAAATTAAAATTCAGTACGCAAATGCCGGCGGCTGGTGTGAAGTAGAACATCAGACACCGGCCGTTCACTGTAGGGGGCTTTGCTCACAGCCAGGGCTGCGACGTTTCCATCTAGGGGGAGGCCCTCCCAGCCAAATTGCAAGAGGGGCTGGCGACTTCATGAATGGGGGAGTTGCGTTTCCGCGCAGCGTTTCCACACAGCTCAACCATCCAGCCCCCAGCCGAAGACGTTGACTCTCTCGTCTGCAGGTGACCCCTTAACAGAGCAAGCCTGGACAGACTGACTCCAGTCTAAAGGTAAAGGTTCCCTTGCTCGAAAGCCAGTCGAATCCGACTCTAGGGTTGCGGTGCTCATCTCCGTCTCCAAGCCGAAGAGCCAGCGCTGTCCGAAGACGTTTCCGTGGCCGTGTGGCCGGCATGACTAAACACCAAGGCGCACGGAACGCTGTGACCTTCCCACTGAAGCGGTACCTATTTATCTACTTGCAATTTCTTGCTTTCGAACTGCTAGGTTGGCAGGAGCTGGAACTAGAGACGGGAGCTCACTCCGTCATGCGGCACACTCGGGTCTCGAACTGCTGAACTACCGACCTTCCACAGCCTGCAGTTCAGCGTCTTAACCACTTGAGCCACCGCAGCTCCAGTCTACATCCACTGAAATCTGTGGTCTTAGTCTTGAGTAACTCCACAGATACTGTGGATTACCAAAAAGTCAAATCAGTGGATTCTAGATCCTATCAGGCTTGAACTCTCTCTAGAAGCTAAAATGACTAAACGGAAGGTATCGTGCTTTGGTCACATTATGAGAAGAAAAGACCTAGAGTATTGTGTTCAGTTTTGGCCTCCACAATTTAAGAAGGACATAGACAAGCTGGTACGTGTCCAGAGAAGGGCAACGAGGATGGTCAGGGGTCTGGCGACCAAGTCCTTTGAGGAAAGGTTGAAGGAGCTGGGTGTGTTTAGCCTGGAGAGGAGACGACTGAGAGGGGATACGATCACCATCTTCAAGGACTTGAACGGCTGTCCTAGAGAGGACGGTGCGGAGTTGTTTTCTGTTGCTCCAGAAGGGTCAGACCAGAACCAACGGGTTGAAATTAAATCAGAAGAGTTTTCGGCTAAACATTAGGAAGGACTTCCTGACAGTTAGGGCGGTTCCTTTGTGGAGCAGGCTTCCTCGGGCGGTGGCGGGCTCTCCTCCTTTGGAGGTTTTCAAACAGAGGCTCGATGGCCATCGGACAGCAGTGCCGATTCTGTGAACTGAGGCAGATCCTGAGAGGGAGGGCTGGAAGGGTTGCCTCAGTGCTCAGTTCTTGGGGCCCTTTCTTACACGCCCAGGGAAATGCTGATCGCCACTTTGGGGTCAGGAAGTAATTTTTCTCCAGGCCAGTTTGGCTGGAGGTCCTGGAGGTTTGTTTGCCATCTTCTGGGCATGGATCAGGGGTCACTGGGTGTGTGTGTGGGGGGAGGTATTTGTGAACTCCCTGCATTGCGCAGGGGGTTGGACTAGATGACCCTGGAGGTCCCTTCCAACTCTATGATTCTAAAAGACTCATTGAAAAAGACAATAATACTAGGAGAATTTGAAGGCAGCAGGAAAAGCGGAAGACCCCACATGGGGTGGATCGATCCCACCAAGGAAGCCACGGCTGTCCTTTTGCAAGACCGGAGCAAGGCTGATAACTATAAGATGTTTTGGAGGTCATTAATTCCTAAGAGCTGCGGTGGCTCAAGTGGTTAAGACGCTGAACTGCAGGCTGTGGAAGGTCGGTAGTTCAGCAGTTCCAGACCCGAGTTAATAAGAACATAAGAGACGCCAATGTTGGATCAGGCCAAAGGCCCATCCAGTCCAACACTCTGTGTCACACAGTGGCCAGAAATACCAGTGCCATCAGGAGGTCCAGCAGAGTTGCCACATGACGGAGTGAGCTCCCGTCTCTAGTTCCAGCTCCTGCCAACCTAGTAGTTCGAAAGCAAGACATTGCAAGTAGATAAATAGGGACCGGTGGGAAGGAAACAGCGTTCCGTGCGCCTTGGTGTCTAGTCACTGTAGAGACCAAGATTGTCAGGGTGTGAGCTTTCAAGAGTCAAAGCTCCTAACCGTTCTCCCTGCAGTCGCTGATCCTCCAGCGTCTGGGGCTGGGCCCGCCTTCTCCCTGGTTTCCCTGGGCCGGTCTTCCCCTGGAGGGAGAAGGGGCAGCCGTCAGGGAAAAGCATTTCCAGGCTGGGCTCCGTCGGCACTCAGACTTGGCAGCGTGTCCTATTAGTCGCAGCAGGACGGCTGAGTCAACACGCTCAGGGCTGGGAATCAATTGGCCAGAGGCACCCAGGGGACAGTGGGTGTATCTAGCTATTGAAGTTTCTGCCGCTGCGAATGGGGAGTGCGAATATTCTCTGGTCTTAGCCTGCTCCCTTTCTGGGGCTTCCCAGACCCAAACTGCGGCCACCGCCCCGCCCCAGTTCCCCGTCTAGGCCAGTAGCTCCCCTCCTGGCTTTCCCCGACAGCTGCAGGGGGCCACGCCCAGCTGGTGAAACTGTGCGAAGGCTGGAAGTTTGAAGGGCTTGGGAGATCTGGGGAGGGGGTGGGGTGGGGTGGGGGAGACTGCTCCTCTTTCCTGCTGTTCTGGCCAATAGATTAGCTCATCTGCCGCCACCCGGCCGGCCTCTGCGGTGCCATGGGGAGGGGGGAGCATCTTTGCATTCTGACAGTGCCATCTTGTGGCCGAGATGGGCAACGGCGGCCGACTACTCTGCCGCTGCCCCCCCCTCCGGACGAGAACTTTGTGGGTTTTTTCCTTTGTAGGTGGTGAAACCGGGTCACGCATCCTGCCGCTGTTTCCTGTGAAAGAGAGAGGGACCTGTCTTTAGATATGTAGTTTTGGGGTGGGTGGGGGAGAAGCTGATGCGAGTCCACCGATTCGGAAAAGGGAGTGTACTTCAAAAAACAAAACAAAAGAAAAACTTGGGTTCGTTGCTGATGTCGCCTAAATTCCGTGGCTGGGCAAACGGAGTTGCATGTTGCAAACTGGATGGTTTTTCTGAAATGAGGGGGAGAGCTCTGAAATCCACCCCCCCGTCTTGCTCTATAATCACGGCCACCTCCTCAAGATTTTATATGGCACATTTTGCCTCTTGGCCTTTATTTATTCACTTCATTGGTACCCCACCTTCCCCTTCCAGTAGTGGTTAAATGCGTGGACTCTAATCTGGGAGAACTGGGTTTGATTCCCCACTCCTCCACTTGCACCTGCTGATGTGACCTTGGGTCAGTCACAAGCTCTGGCACAGCTGTCCTTGAAAAAGAGCAGTTTGTGTCAGAGCTATCTCAGCTCCACCTACCTCCCAGGATGTCTGTTGTGGGGAGGGGAAGAGAAAGGAGTTTGTAAGCCGCTCTGAGACTCCAAGTGAAGGGCGGG